CCGATAGAGAACTGTGTATTGACTACAGTTCATGTATAGGAACTGTGTGTTGGGTACAGTTCTTCGAAAAGATTCGGCTCAAAGAACCGAGAGCTGTGGTAGGTCTATCTTCTACTGTGGATGAGAGGTGGTTAGTAGAAATAGTGATCCATATAAATGTCAGCTTCCTAATTTCCTTAGTTTGTTAATATGCAATATTGCTATTTTCATGACTGCGGACTAGGGATGTACTAAGCATAAGTTCAGTCACTCAAATTCTCAGGTATGGTATGATTTGTCTAGACTTGAATAGAATTGGAGCTGGATTAGACTGAATCGGACTTTTTTGAATTAGCTATACCTTTCACAAAGATTCCGTCAGATTCAATAGTTTTTGTTGGTTCCTTATATATATATATATACATTACTTCTTGTCGTTTACGGCAGGATAAATCGTGGAATTATCAAAGTATTATTCTAGCTCAAAGTTCATTCTACTGAACACAGTATATACCATTATATTTCAATAGTGGGAATCAGATAGAAGCTTAGCTGCATCCGGACAGAAACCTTCCAGAACCAATGAGTTCACAACGAGAGAAGGGCAGAAATATCTTGGATTTCGGTAGAAATCTAGTTGAAAAATGTGATATTCGAAAAGCTTCAACACACTTTCGGAAATTAGGTAGTTTTATGACTGCTACAGCAATTTTGATAGAGATAGGTCTTTAAGGACCTTTTTTTATGAATACTTTACTGATTACTCATTATACGAACTGGATTCACTTATTGGGTAGGAAATGGCTCCTGCCGTTCATTATTTTGTAAGTGGGTGCTAGCACACTTTTAGAAGTGCATATTGCGATTCACTTGCGAAAGAGGACAGAAGCATTGTGTTTTCCGGCTAGATTTCCCACAAAATCGAGGCTGTTTTCGTCGCCTTCGAGTTCAAAATCCATCGGTTCAGGGAGGCTTGCATCGGGAGTCCTGCTTCCACGAATTGGGGATCTTTCCTGCTGTTTCTGGCGGGAAGTATTATATGAGGAACCGACAGTTATTTAAAAGGAAACGACGACGTTTTTCGTAGATTTCCATCAGATCTTGCAAGTAGAATCATCGACCTGCGTTCGACTTCTTTTGTCTCATGACCGAGATAAGTCAATGGAATGGCAAAGAATAGCTGCAATTTATTAGAATCCTACCTATTGGTTTGATTGAAGATATGGGTTTGGTTGCAAAGTCATCAAGAAGAAATGGCGATTCAATTTCTTCCAGTTGAATAATATAAAGATCTGCACCTTGCTTGAGAAAGCCCGTAACTTTCAATTGTCTTGCAGGTGGAAGTAGTATTTCAGCTTCTCTCTGAAAGGTAGAATAGTTCTGGATATCTTTGCCGCTATGACATGCTATTGCAAACATAGTTCTCGGACCTTTTTCTCCCAAAAATGCTTCACTTTGCAGTGCATTGAGTGTGGTTGTAGAAGAACTAAATGCCCACCAAAATAATATTTTGCCTTCCGGATATTCGTTTCTTATGTCTTTTGGAACTCCGCGGTAAACTGTTTTAGTACTTGATGGAATGTTTGCTAGTGCAGTAAGAATCAATCGTAGATATAGAAGCCAAGGTTCCAGTTCTTGCAGATTCTTTGATCGTAGCTTCTGATTTAAAGTGTAATAAAGACTCTCTTCTCGAACTTTCGACTCCATTGTATAGAGTATGATTGCGGCTACTTCATCCACAGATTCAAAACACATTGGGAGATCATTGTACTTTTTTTTTGCTTCGTTGACCATATTTTTCACACCTGGCACGCAGAAAGCGATGGGTTCTACAGCTTCTTCAATTGTAACAAGAGCCTTTTCCTTACAACTTTGAAATAGATTTGCCACGCGGGCAGTTTCCTCTTCCGTATTCGGAAGAGGAACTGCGCTCCATGCTCCGCTCCATGCTCCGCCCCATGCTCCGCCCCATGCTCCGCCCCATGCTCCGCCCCATGCTCCGCCCCATGCTCCGCCCCATGCTCTGCCCCATGCTCCGCCCCATGCTCCGCCGCCTGTTTCCCCTGGATCGTCCTTAAATCTTGAATGGCTCACCCAATTCGCCCAGAGCTCCTTCAGAGAATTCATTGGATCTGTTTCTGAAACGCAAAGTATGTAAAAAGTATATCATTATTTTAATGCGTTTACATATACCAGTGTCGAAGTTTAAAGTATTTTTTAAAAAGTTGATAGTTGAGAAAAACGAGAAAAAAAGTTAAAA